TATTTTATTTTATTTTATTTTATTTGTGGAACCAGGGTTTGAACTCAGGCCCTTGTGCTTGCCAGGGAAGCACTTATTCCACTGAGCCATCTCCCTGGCTCGCCTGCCCATTAATTGGAACAATTCAGCTATCTATGGTCCACTCACTGTGCACCAAGCCCAGCATGGACGTGAGGGCTTAGCATCTCAGTGATGCCCAGTACAGTCACTCTACCCCACAAGAACAACCTACTGGGGTGACATGAACAGCATCCCCTCAGCCTGGCCCCAAGCAGGCTGTCTTCTTCCCACCATCCTAGCAGGTCCCCAAGAGCAGAGGTTCTAGTCCCAGCTGGGGAGACAAGTATACATCCCCCAAGAAATGCTCTCAGACTTTTTCATGCAAATTTTTTTCCCCAGTACTGAAGATTGCACCCAGGGCCTTCACACTGACCAACATCTCTCAAACCTTATACAGTGAGCTCTATTCTTCTGTGACAATTGCAGAGTATTGTCTCATTTGATCTAAATTTCCAGATTCAGACTTATCTGGAAATAACAAAGATCCCAAGGGACTGTGAAGGGAGCAGAAAGGAACCCCAGAGTGAGCAAACAGGGATGCCCTCGAGGGAAGGAGACTTTTATGTCTCGGTAATTGTCTTCAGGAGGCTGTGGTGGGAGGGGAGAAGAGGGAGGTCAAGAGGGGGTCTAGCCTCAAAACGGACTTTGGTTCAACTGACCAAGTTTTATTTTTCACAAGAAAAGTCTATTCATGTATTTCTCATGTTACTAAAGGTTAATTCAACCAAGGAGATAGAGGATACATGTGTTAGGCCATGTGGAGGGAGCTAGAAGGTGTAAGAGACAGATGTTCAGCAGGAGACCAGGACACATCTGGAGCCTCGAGAGAAGCCACAGCAGCCAAGTCTGTGCTCAGGAAGCAAGAGATGGGCTGGGCTGGGCCAGAACAGATTTAAATTCTGGGGGAGACCAGGAAGAAGGGGGCTTGGCTCCTCCAGGACTGACCACCATCACCCCCCTCTCAGCCAACAGATCCCAGCCCCTTATCTTGACCTTTCAGACAGCTTTTCTTATCATGTATCCAGAACCCTGGATGAATTTGCCTTAAAATCCAGGAACCTGGGCCTGAAATTTTTACAGGAAAAGGGGCTACAGAAGAAGAACAAGTTTTAGTAAAAGTACTGGAGGTTCCCATCCTGTCAGTCTCAGCATAGGCATAGGGAGGAGGACAGGGATTCAAGGAACAGGTGCTAGCATGCTCAGGCAGGAGAGAAGGATAGAGGAAGGGGCTACGACATGGGTCAGCGCTCTCTCAGGTACTACGTCCTGTGGCTGCCAACAGAGACACAGCTCAGCTGTGACTGTCAGAAAGTTCCTGTGATTTGCCTTCTCCTATGCTGATGGTCCACAAGGAGGAGCTTTCCTAGAAGATTAGACCTCAAGGAACTCATGGGACAGGTTCCCACAGGGAAGTGCTGGGACTGAGGCCTGCTCTGTGCCTGGCCACAAGAGGGAGAGTAGGTTGGAAGGGCTAGGATAGTGGGGAGGAACAGGCAGGGGAAAGACACTGAGCAAAGGGAAGCCTATACATGGGATGGGTATAGGTCGGGAGCCAGGGATGGGTACAACATAACGGCAGAAAGTTAGACCTGAAGTTTTGGAGCTGGCCATGGTGCTGACAGCGGCTGGGCTGAGGAGGACAACTTGAAGGCCCTGACATTAACCAGCATGAGCAAGGTCCCACAGCACAAGGACGTCAGACTTGCAGTCATATAAGGAGTTGAATATGCGCCTGAGTCTACAAGTGTGAGAAGCAGCGCAGAGGACACCAAATGATGCCAAGCCTTTCAAAGGTCTCCAAGAAGGAGCCTCACTTTCACACTGTAAGAGGAAGGCCCAGCCACCTGCACCGGCCTCAGACCTGTGGCCAGGTCCCTGTGTGGATCTGAGGCAGCTGCTAGCCATGGAGGGACAGAGCTGCCCTCAGGGGCCAGGGCAGAGCCCCATTCTGTGGTACCCCTGGGAGTGCAGGGTTGGTGAAGCCAAGATGGACAATATTCCCTGGCAGGGTGAGGAGACCTTTAGACAGTGACACAAGGAGTCCACTCCGGACAGATGCAGAGGCCACTGGGTCTGGGGAAGGGGTGGGGCGGCACACATGGGCAGGTGTAGTTTATGCTTAGAGCCTGAGGCTGGTGCTGGATCCCACCAAGTTAGCTGGTAGACCTGGAGATTGCCCTGAGGGGAGAGAGAAGGCCTAGGAGTGCAGTCCCTGGGCCTGGGAAGAAAGGAGATGGGTAGGGAGGCGGCCCTTCCCACCAGTTCTAGCTCTGAGAAGGACAGGGCTGCGCTTCCCGTGGGGGTCGGGGGCTGGCGCTCCCGTGCCAGGCTCACCCTGCGCTTTCTCCAGACCAGTGCTTGCCCTGTGTTCGCCCTCATCCTGCCTCCAGAGCTGCGGGTCTGAGCGAGGCGCCAGGCGGAGGTGAGGAGAGGCAACCTCTCCATGCGGGGAGGCTTTGGAAAGGCAGCATCCCCTCCCCCACCAGGCACCGGAGCGCGAGGACAGCTGTTTGGCCTTCCCGGCCACGGCAGGTGGCTTCCCACCCAGACGGTCCAGCCTGCGGCGCTCTGCAGTGGAGATCCACGCGCGGCCGGGTGCAACCGCTCGCTCGCCCGCAGACGGTTTGGGCCGCCCTCCCCGTCCTCCTCTGTCCTCCAGCCCTCTCCCCGGCCCCCACAGCGCAGGGCCCCCGGCTCCTGGGGAGGGTCCCTCCCTCTCCCTTCCCCCGCGGGGTGGCGATCGGTCCCCGCTGGGCGCCCGGACCACCCGCTTCCGCGGATCTAGCCTCGTCTTCTGCAAGGTGCGACTCCAGAGACGCGAATTGTAACCGGCATCTGCTCCAGACGCGGCCAGAGCAGGCCACGACCCGACCCGGGGCCCGCGCCTACCGGACACGGTGCTAGCCATGGTGCTGGCGGCTGCTGGGCTGCGAAGGCCGAGAGGCAGGCGGCGGCTGGAGCTGCAGTCCGTGAATGCTGCAGTGTTGGGGAGGGGAGGAGGTTAGTGCGGGCGGGCGCGGCGGAGGGGAGGGAGGGGAGGGGCAAAGGAGGGGGAGGGGAGGGGAGCGGAGAGGCCGCAGCTCTCCAAGCCGAGTCCGGGATGCCACGGTCACTACTCCCCTCGCCTCTGGACACTGCCCTCCCTGTGTGGCTATGTGTGGGCTTTGAGCAGGAGTGGCAGGGTCAAGGCTGGAGCACAGGCCTCACTGCCAGGCCGGGGTGCGGGTGTCCCAGAGCTCTTGACAGGGGCTGCTAGAGGGTGGCCATCAAGGAGTGGGAAGGCAGCTGCCTTTGCACAGGGCCAGGCAGTGCAAAGATGGGGATGGTGGAGCCACTGGAGGACAGCCACTGAGCCAGGCGTGTGAGGATAACAGGGTGGGCACTGGCACAGAAGGCCATCGCCTCCATGCCCATTGGATGGGCAGGTTGTGGGCAGAGAAGAGGGCATTGGGAATGGCCAGGCCTAGAGCAAGGCCTCTAAATGAGGTCCAGCCCAGTTGGGACATCCTGTGTTTGACTGAGAGTACATTTCTGACTTTGCTTGGCCCTGCTTCTTGAGTATGAGATGAGACACCAGGCCAGGCCTCAGGATGAAAGAAAATGTGCAGAGCAGAATGCACTTACTGGGGCACCTGTGGTACCTCCGTAAAAAGAGACAGGCAGGGCCAGAGAGATGGCTTTGTGGTATAAGCGCTTCCCTGGCAAGCGCAAGGGCCTGAGTTCAATCCTCGGTTCCACCAGAGAGAGAGAGAGAGAGAGAGAGAGAGAGAGAGAGAGAGAGAGAAAGGCAGCCCAACAGAGTACTTCTCCCATTTCAGGGATGGAACTACTGAGGCCCAGAGGAGCAGGGCTTGCTCTACAGGCAATTAAGACGTAGTGCCAGGAGCAAAATTCCTGGAATCTTCAGAAGCAAAATTCCTGGGATCCTTTTGAAAGGCAAAACTCAGGGACAACCTGGGATTGAGGTTAGCCTGGAGCAAACTACACAGGATGGCAGGAACATCTCGTGGTCACATACAACCTAAGTGTCCTGAGTCCTGCAACCAGTGTGTATCCTGGCATCAGGCCTGGACTCAGGGTTAGGTGTGTTATATGGCACAGACTTTCAGACAGGACTATTCCAGTCAGGCCAACTTAATCATGGAAAGCCCTGAAAAGTACAGTTCTGTCTCACTAATTGATGAAGTTTAGGGTTTAGAAGCAAGGAAGGCTCTCAGGTGCTGAAATGGGGGGACCAACTGGGAATGGTATAGGAGCTGCTCCAAGCTGGTCAGCTGGCAAGATTTCAGTCCTACACCCACAAAAGAAGTGAATCCTGTAATTGTTGTGAGTTCAAGACCAGCCTAGGCTACAAAGTGAGCTGAAGACCAGAGTATTCTGCACAGCAAGACCTTGTCTCTAAAAAAAAAAAAAAAAAAAGAAAGAAAAAAAAAATTTAGGAACAGCTCTGTATGTTCCTCCCCACTTCCAACTCCTTCCCAGGGCTGAATTCCACTGAATGTTGCACACAAGAGTAGCTAGGGCTGTGTGTGTGTGTGTGTGTGTGTGCGTGCAGTAGGTTGATACACCTGCCTAACACAGTATCACAAAGCCCAGCAGCTCAAAAACAACTCTCAAGTACTAGTCCTCAGGGTGAAATAAGACTGTCTACTGGGCTAAGTTCTGTGTGGAGGTTTTAAAAGCAAATCTGCTTCCAAGCTC